CGAAGTGTGTCGATTGAGTTTGAACAAAATTGTAAATGGAAAGCGACGTGTGTCGATTTGTGTCAAGTGTGTCGACTGTGTCTCCTAAAAGGAAAGCAGTCTTAATCTATCGAAGTTTATTTTTATTACTTATATCCTTATATTATATCTTTATATCCAAATAATATCCTAAAAAATCTAATTTCGCTTAAGTGTGGCATATACCCTCGACTTACCTTATTGAAAAACTAAATAAATTTATTGCGAAAAATATTACCTCGACCGGGAGTCGAACCCGGATCTCTTATGTTCCGTACAAGCGTCCTAAGCTTTTAAACTACCGAAACTTTACTTTAAATAACATTACAACAATACGATCAAAATTATTTTTTTATAAAATACAAGGTTTCATATATTTGGTTAATTTAGATTTAGAAGGAAATTCTGTGCAGTTTGTTTGAATTGTAAGTATATGAAGAAATAAATAAATCTCTCTTTTTTTTTAAAAGGTTAATGCAGCTCCGTAAGCATGGTGTTGCGAGGTAACGAGAAGAAACTCGTGTTAGGACTAATAACTCTCTCATTCTCGTTGTCGTTTATAGCGCCGTCTAAAAAGCAACGCCCTGGGCGGCTCTCTCTCTCTCTCTCTCTCTCTCCCCGCACCGAGTTCAGGGTTAGTTGGCCTACTGACGTACTTTGGTATGTCAGTATCGCGAGAGGTCGCGAGAGGTCGCGAGGTCGTTGATACGAGGCTAAGAAGGGAGGGTGAAAGGACCGGCGACCTTGGAAAACAGCCTAAGAGTGAGCAGGATCGATGAATATCCCCTACACGTGTCCTTTTGGTTCCTCGTGCCTGCCATCCCTGTTCTGACCCTCTTGGCCTTTCTGTTTTCTCCAACCCCCTTATCACGGTCCTCACGTGCTTTTATGGACACGTGCTGGTATATAAACAATCTTCCTAGGTTTTCTTAGTGACCTCATCGAGCATTTTCTTTTTGAAGTTTATTTGCGACACCGTACATACTCTCGATAATTTCTATTTAAGGTTCATATTCAAAAATTTGCTATTTTTTATTCTGATCATCACAATACATCTATGGGCTCACGATAGCTCATTATTATAGAGTTTCTAATTGTAGAAAGTTTATTTATATATACTTAAGAAACTTTTATAATCAAGAATGTTAAGTTATTTTTAAATTTCATAACTTGTTTTTAAAATTTTAATATATATCAAAAATGATCTTTCTAAGAAGTATAATATTAAAATTTTTGAACTGTTAAAAAATTGCTTTTTGCAAAACACAAAGTACAAACTTACAAGATTTTTAACGATATATACATGTATAACATTGAAATAGAATAATAAAGATTTTTATCTCATATAATAATTAACGCTCAAAATTTGATAAATTTAAATACAGCTGATTAATTCATGTGCTGCATAAACTGATAATACACTTTGATGCATCTATATAAGTCATACGAGAATATTGTTATCGTTTAAAAATAAAATCGCGCAAAAATGAATTCAACTTCCCTCTTCAGAATCTATTTTCGTTTTTCTTATCTAGTATCTCGTTGTAGATATGTTTCTTTAATTGAACAAAGAACGACGACGGCTACGTCGATTATGATGAACGAGAAAAATCATTCATATTTATACAGTCAATCATATATTAAAATTCCAAAGTAGTCGTACCGTTAATTGAGAGAAGAAAATTAATATCAGACAAGATATCGCAAGAACTCGACATTGCATCTTTGATTCAGGTCCTGATGCAGTCAGGATAGAGCCAGCAGAAAAAGACATCCCTAAGGTGGTAGTGAAGAAGATTGAGGGAAAAATGGAGACATTGGAAAGACACGTGCCGCAGATGCTACTGAGGGGAGAACAAGTCGCTATAATTGTCAAAATCAATTGACTATGTGTTATCGTATTAAGGGCCGTCTCACAAGTACCGTGCCACGTGCATTCAATAACATAACCAATCATGTTTCCTGTTACTCGTTATTTATTCGCTCTGTACGATGAAATTTTATATAATGTATAAATATTTTGCAATATGTGGTTATAAATACTTTAGAATATGTATATTCGCAAAAAGTTTTGTAGAACTTCAATTTTTTCGAAGTACCTTGAATATATTAATACATTAAGAATCTCGTAATATTTTAATTGGATAACGAAGCGTCATCTACTTATGCAGCTACAATATAATGTTAAGTTGCATAACCGGAATAAATATACATTCATTTTTTATTTCCCCTTGATATACATTGTATAATAAATATTTTGAACGGAAACAAGGAAACAAGGTTATACCGTATATTTCAAGATTACAGTTACATAGGATTTTTTACGTATTTGTCACGTTTACACAAATTCTTCTTATGTAAACAATGCAAAATATAAATTATTATAAACCGCATAACAATATAAAAAAAAGTAAGTCTTATGATTGTTCATGTATACGTATACGTGCGCGCGCGCGCGTGGTGTGTATTATACAGGGTGTTCAAAAAGTCCCGGACCCCTTAAATATCTTGAAAAGTAAGCATTTCTGAGAAAAATGTTCCATACAAAAATTGTATAGTTTAAAATGGTCTATTTACTTATCTTATCAGTTTGACCATAGGTGGCGCCACCAAGGTTAGGTCAAGGTCAAATAGATCTTTTTAAACAACCTATTTTTTGTTTCAGAATCTAATAGCTGGTGTCAAGAACTTTTGAAACTACTATAATAAAGTTATTTTCCCTTAAGTACTTTTCAAGTTATAAGTTTGAAAGTTACAGTACCGCCGGCATTGGCATTACGCAAGGTGTCCAACCGATAGCTAAAATCTCTTGAATATTGTTCAGGATCATGTCCTGGATAACATTTGTTAAGTCAAGGCCGTTGGAGATTATTCCTCTTATTTTTATTTTTGCACTGAAAATTCATTTTTACGTAAAAATGAAAATAACAAGTACAATCTCCAATGGCCTTGATCTTGACAAATCTTATATATATGTGTATATCTAATATATAGATAATTTTGACAAATGTTAGATATAGGTATATAGAGGAAAGCCCTCTATTATGAGATAGGCGTCTAATATGAGATAGCGGTGTTTCTGCTAAATTAATAAATGCTATCTATTTCACACCATGAATTTATTGCTCTTGGATTGAAAACTATTTAGTGGAAAATTTATTATTAGATCATGCCTGTAGTCGTAAAAAAGATTGTAAAATTTAGATGTCTTCAAGTTTTAGTGAGATGAGAGTCTTTAAACCTTGTTTATTATTTAATAAATAAATATTTAGCAATAAATTCTTCATATAGTGATAGAGTAAGGTCGTACTAATATAAAAATACGGGATATGTTGAATTGCTTAATTACAGAAGTTAGATTTGATGATCATAAAACCATAAGGCGTGAAAATCATAATATGAGATACCCAGGGTATTTATAATATGAAATAACCTATGCTCCTATGTCACAGTAAAAATTGTTAAGTATAAATGTTATTGTACAATAATATAGGGTAACTCTGGCATTTACGCCGCAGAAATCAGAAAAAATAGAAGGAGTAGGAGTAATTTTCCCGTAACTATTCTATTACATGCCTTTATATTATATTAGTATTGAATTATGATTTCAGCTTTTTACTGTTAATATTAATGAAATTATTATGAATTGAATCGATTTGTCACTGGCACTGTAACAAGTAAATAGCGCCATCATAAATTATAATCTATATTAAATGATTACTGTAGGGCGCGTGTAAAAGACTTAATGGTTATTTTGTGATACGTACGTGTAGAGGAATAATAAAGCATGTTATATAACAAAATACAAGTGCTTTTCTTTCGTATTCCTTGTTTGGTTTATTGTCTTGTATATTCCACCTGTTTAGGATATACGGCATTTTTAACGGACGGGATTTATGCCCAAAGCATACAAAGTGAGCAGATTGAATTCAGTGCACTAAATGCAATAAACGCATTACATGAAACATGTATCTCATGGCATAATACTTGTAATATATGTAGGAAGATTGTAATTATCATTTATTACTTCATATACATGTTTATCATTTTTATTCCTTAATAAAACTTTATAAACGCATTTTATAAGTTATTGTTTCATTTTATGTTTTATTTATATGCATTATTTGTAAATTTTTCATGAGCCGTACATACCTCCCCATCCCCCTATGAGTAACCATATATCCCATATTATACCCCCTATGGGGTATACGGCAAAAATGCAAGTTTAAAAAAATTTATTTTTTAATACGAAAAATAAATATTTCGGATTCTAATATTTTTTCATAGTAATAAACAGCACAAAGTTTTTACTGATATAGTTCGTTTACTTTAAACATAATAAATAATACTTAATAAATTAAGTTTCTGATAAATGCGGCGTATATACACGAGTTATCCTGAAGTACCAGAATGAACAGTGAGTGCTTGTTTCTGTAATGCTTGGTTCCAACTACCTGAAGACGAATCCTGAGTACAATGCATCACATGCTCATTTTGCGCGCACACTGGCTATGTTTATTTGTATTTTAGAAACATTAAATAAAATTTTTAATTGCAAGTACTGATGTACTTTACGTTTTATTATCAATTTCTCTGAGCATCTCATACAAGGAGCACAATTTTTTCAATGTTTTGTGATTTGCTCACTATTTACATTTCTTTAAAATTAAAAAAAATAGAATTTGAATTAAATTTTACATAGCATTATCTCAAAACTTATTAAATTCCCTTCAAAATGACGTATTATTTTTTAAAATAATGTCCATAGATTTCCAGCATTTACCCAAAATGAACTCGGTAACTCATGATAAGGGCCTTCTATATATATACACGCACGCACGCACACGCACGCACGCACGCACGCACGCACGCATACAGATCTGACTTTAGTATTGATAAATAATATACAAACGAAATAGAAACTTCAGTGTAGTCCAACGATAAAGAAGACTTTAATGATTCATAAATTGTTTATATAGATAACACGTAAAACATAATTTACAGTTTATACATTGTGTGCACATAGATATAGATTACTGTTGGATAGGAAAAAAGTTCTTGCCGTTTTTTTAACTCAAAATTGTATATAGAATATATTTGTTGTGCAATTATATTAACAATATACTAATCAATGGAGCAAGATTTCAGCTTTAACAATCTATTTTTTTTAATTATAGTACGATGATTTTTAATGGTATTATGAGCAATTAAAGTTAGAATGTTCTTTTACTTAACTCGCGAGTAATTCAGTAAAAATAAAAAAAATCATAAGAACATTTTTAAAAAGCGATTTTGTAAGGAAAACTTACTCAAGTTTTTAGATAATGAAAAATTTTTGTAAAATTTTTCACACGTGATAGGCCCACAAAATGAGAAAAAATTTGTCAATTGTTTTCAGTTCGTAGTTTTTTATATATAAAAATTACCAAACTCGCAGAAGCAAAAAATATAGTAACCTTTCGAAAGTAGAAATTTCAAGTTATAAAATCCTTTTTTTAAATTTAAATTTTATTCATTTTTCAACAAAGATCTCACCCCCCCTTTCTCTCTCTCTCTCTCTCTCTCTCTCCTCTTCCTCCCCCTCTCCCCTCTCTCTCGCCTATCCCGCTATAATTAATTTTCAGGTTAAACATACAGATATTATTAACCCTTACCGTACTAATATGAGTAACTAGTGACCGAGCGATTCCTGTTCGTGCAAGTTTCTCGCAAGCTCGGTCAATCCAGCGTTTGTTATTGCCGCGTAAAAAAAGTTTGTGATGGGGGGGATCTGTGCGCGGTGGTGCGACCCCGGCCGTCAATCTGCCTATGCCTGACGTGCAGTTTAAGGCGACGTGAGACACTAGTAACCCTTGTGAGTATACGATGTTAGCTTTTTCGTGAAAATAAAAATTGTGTCAAAAAATCATTATAAGTATTCTATTTTCACTCTAAATTAATGTTTGAATGTTTGTTTTCATTAAAAATTTTTTTTTTTCTAAAAGAATTATTTATTTTTTAGACAAAATAGATAAAACTGAAGAGGCGAGTCACGCTTTTCTTTACATATTTATCTAAATATTTATCTAAATTAAAATTTACATTTTTTTAATGAAAAAAGACATTATTTTATAACAAAATAAAAAAATGCGTATTTTAACTCGATTTTTTCTATATGTTCCTTACTGAAAATTACTCATATTCATGTGTTCAAATAATTCAACTTTTTGTAGAATTCGAAGTTCTAGTATTTTTTTTCATAACTTCATATCTAAGCTACAAAACCCTGGAGTGATTTTTTTATATTCATTTATTATGAAAAGTTATAATTTTTTAAATCAAATGCCATTTTTTCCTAACTTACGAATCTTTCGGTAATTATAAATTATACTTTATTTTATTATTTTCCAAAATAAAAAGTCAATATTTATTCTAGAAAGTTGGAAGTATGTTGGTGAATTTTTAGAGATTTTTTGAATTATTTTGAAGAGGTGAAAAAACGAAGAGATTCTAGTGACTCTGGTTGGTATGGATGAGGCACCAAATTGTAGAGGTAAGGGTTAACTAGTTAAGGGTTAACTAGTTAACTATCCAGATAGACTTGTATGATGATCATGATATGCACAAATTAATTTACTGAAAATTTAGAACAATTTTATGATTATTTATGACATTATAAAAGCAAAAACGTTTATATTAAAGTAAATATAAAATTTAGGTTATTTGAATGATTAAATTTTTTGTTATAGAATTACAAAAACATATGTATGAAAATATATCTTCAGATTTATAATATTCTTTTTTCGATATCACTATATGAAATATGTATTTACATCATATATAATTAAATGAAATACATCATATAAAGATGCACATTTACAATTATCATGTGATGCTATAGAAAGCTCAAATAATTTTTAAATTTTTCTTTATCTTATGCCGCATAAAGTAAGATAAATATACTGTA